GATGTAGCGCCACTCATCAATATCGTGTTTGTGTCTTTCACTGGTGTCGCCATGTTTCAGTTCGGGCACACCATGAACCAACACCACTTTCTCCATTACATTTTGACGAGACGCGACTGGGGTACAGTGATTACCATACGCTACATTGTAGCTCCAGTTGTCACGGTAGGGGTTCGCCCAATACACATACTATGCTGCATTTCTTAATGCCCATTCATCGATGAGTAGCATAACGCAAACGAACACCCTGCCTACCGGTCCCTTCCGAAAATCGCATCAGAGAATTTGCATTTCTGCGTAGGTGAATATTATGGCTAATTCACGGTGTGAGCTATTTTGTTGGCGACGGTCTTTATTATGTGAGGTCCATCGCAGCCAGTTTCCAAATCAGATAGTCGTCTACATGCCCGGAAAAGCACTAGATTGCAGTTTCGGCCTGTTGGGCATCGTCAGTAGTGCGCAGTCTAGTGCTTTTCCGGGCATGTGAACGACTATCTGATTTGGAAACTGGCTGCGATGGACCTCACATAATTACATCGAAATCCCCTACTCAAGAGGGTATTTATGCATTCGGCTTTTGAGCAGACCATCCTACGGGACTTGTCAAGCTTGCTTTTCATTACCTACTTTACTATTACAGTCGAGCATCGTTTGTTCCCAACTCGTGATAACAAAGATATCAGTCCGTAATACACGTTGTTTAGTACTGACATCTCACCTTTATAAATTCCTTTTACAAATACCCAAGTAATCAGGGAGCACCTACGTCCTGATGCTGGTCGAATCCATTCAGTGTACATAACCAGAGCACGTATGATGTAGTAACAATGACGTATATGCTGGAACATGCGCGCTGCTTCTGTGGGCCATCCTACTGCACAGTGTCATTCTAGGCCAAAAGATGCACAGTGTGCGCCACTGACCATGTTGCCACAACAGTCCCAGATAATGAACGTACTTCGGTTTGCAGTTTGCTACCAAAACGAGGAACTAATAGCGCCACTAGCTTGTACATAATTGGTCTAGTCCCACTAGACAGATAGCCACTTTTCCACGCGTGATATTCCGTATTGCAGAAAGCCGTACGTACTCTTGAAACACGGGTGCGCAGCCCTCGTGTTTAGCAACAATCACGATAACAGCATGCTTCCGTAAGTTGTTACTGGAGCATCAAGGAACCCCAGAAAATATCTTGTCAGCAGCACAGAGATTAGTACTCTCATGGGCAACCACATGGCTACTCTGCGTTGCGCTCGCATTGTGACCAGTCTACTTTCAAATCACAACGCAGCAAGTTGACTTAAATATCCCCGTCCACCAAGACTCATTCCCAGTCCGAATTGCGTACTCGTTTACTCCATTTGTGGGAACGACGTTGAGCGAACGTCAGTTGGTTCGTCCAATGAACAGCATAATGTAGCGATTGTACACTTCTAGTTTTACCTTACTTTCCCGACTTCATTTTCCTCTGCTCATTTCACAGTTTGTTTTAACTACCTGAACCTATACATACCTCTTTGGATTTTGTCTCGCGGTCTCGCTCTGGTTCGCTGAGTGCGCTTTCCTCCTAATGGTTCGGCGCTGTTGCTTGGTATCTGGTAACCGGAATTATTGCTAAACTCGGATTGAGGTTCACATCGAAGCATCCGGCTAAATTCGGGCAATTCGACGGCTTGGAAATGCCCAAGATCAGGTTAACTGCTTCTTCCGTAACTGACTGAACATTTCATTAACCTTTGTTGTGTAGCATTGTCCACTACAATAATGTATGCACGATTGTTGACAGGGAAAATGACGTACAGTTTCACTTGCGTTGCCGGTGCCTCACATATAGGCAGTTGTAAGAGCAAGTAATACCGTCGAGCGTTGCAGTTCACCTTCGTCGTGTACATTCGATGCACAGTCAACTAAAAATCGCAACATTCGGTCGTGCACTATGTTTCGCACTCGGAAACGACGAACGTTCAACAACACACAACTCACTGCTGTGGATACTGCGAACTCTCTACTCCGAGTTTGGCTCGGTGGCCATAAATATCATGGAACATTTGCTCTATCGACTCCCAACATATGTCGTCGGCTTATCCGGTGTCGTCTTTACTTCAGAGGCTGTCCTGAACAAATTACAGTCTCTGTGGAAAAACAGTGCCTTAGGAATCGAAAAAATCTGCCCGAAGGTAATTAAAACTTTTACCCCCACCACAGCAGTACACCTTGCAGCGTTTTTCCAGGGTCTGCTTGACTCCCATACACTCCCATCTGAGTGGAAATGTGGAATAATCACTCTGAGATGCAAAGGAGGCAAGATATCGGATCCTGGCGAATACCGATCTATTACTCTCTTATCCGTTTAATCAAAAGTGATGGAATCGCGAGCAATTCTCAAATTGACTAATTCCTAATATTGGTTCTGCGATTCTCTTCGCTACATTTGCTCTGTAATGCTAACCGGTTCCCCTTCTTTTCCGGAGCTAACCGGTTAGCAACACATGCCGGACTTCAGTGATTGGCGATATCGCATTCCCTATTGTATGTATACCAGTTACTAATAATGTCTCCAAAAATTCGTCTTAGTACCATTTTGCATATGGACAGCTCGTGCTGTAATCTGTGTTTGGCTGTCACTCTTCACAATTCGATCGTATGTTCGACTCGATGCATTTTGCGCTGTTGTAAAACATGTTCTGTTTATTCTTGTCATTAACGATATTATACTTACTGCATTCATTGTTTCTTATTTTACATTCTTCGTTATTTCATAGTTGGCCATGAGTGGACAGATCTCCTGAGGTGACGGATTGAAGCTTCTAGACCCGATAAAGGATCGGGATGGGTGCTCATGGACAAATCAGATTACATTTCAAAATTAAGTTATCTTGCAAGACATGAGTAAATTCTTGCATGACACAATCCAAAAGGACAAGACGGTACACGATGAAGCAAAGATTACAAAGATCTTGAAAGAATTGAAACAGATGAATTTGATAATCGATATTCAACTGCAGCAGTTAACTCCTGTTGGTTCGCAACCTCCTCGGCTCTACGGCTTGCCTAAAGTACACAAGCCACAAGTCCCTCTACGTCCAATAATTGACATGTCCGCTTCTGCACACCACTTAGTTGCGAAATGGATTGTGCAATTATTGGAACCTGTACGTAAGGAGCTCTCTATTCATTCTTTGAAGGATTCGTTCGAATTCGTTGATAAAGTTAAAGACCTGAAATTAAATGGTAAACAAATGTTTTCTTTTGATGTAGAATCCCTTTTCACAAACGTCCCACTGTTGGAAACTGTTAATTTCATCTGCGAGTATATAACGGAAAGGAACCTCAACGTTGGCATTCCAGTGCTTAAGCTCAAGGCGTTAATTTTGCGGTGTACCTTTAATAGACAGTTCTTGTTTGACGGAATCTATTACAGGCAAATCGATGGCGTGGCGATGGGGTCCCCCCTTGGACCTCTCCTTGCCGACATCTTTCTCGCTAAGCTTGAGCGTGGTCCCATCCAAAGGCTTATTGCCTCATTTGATTCTTATTGGAGGTATATGGATGACACTTTCATCATCTGTGATTCTCGCATTGATGTCAACCATTTGCTCGACCAGTTCAACAGTGCACATCCCTTAATGAAGTTCACTAGTGAAATGGAAAATGAAGGTAAGCTGGCTTTTCTGGACGTTTTGTTGAGGAGGCGCGAGGACGGATCACTTGAGCGTAGTGTCTTCCGCAAAGCTACATGGGTTGGACAGTACACACACTTTTCGAGCTTCGTCCCTCTGAAGTACAAACGCAACTTAGTGCGTTGCTTGAATTACCGGGCCACCAAAATTTGTAGTCCGGAAACTCTCGAGGGTGAGAAGGACCGAATTGTGAAAACACTTCTTTCGAATGGATACCCTGAGCCTTTCATCAAAAAGCACGCCATGACCCGTGAGCGCGATAAGCCCGTAGCAACGGTTCCGAAGAAGGATGTGTTTCTCTCTGTTCCTTTTAAGGGAGATATCGCCTTCGATCTCATGAACAGGAGACTTTCTAATGCCGTAGCAAGGACCTACCCGGTCGCCCACCGGCACGTAGTTGCGGAGACCGCTCCCTTCATAGCTCAACGTCTTAAAGACAGACTGCCAGTGTCGTCCGAATCGTACATGGTTTACCAGTTTACTTGCACCTGTGGTGCCAAGTACCTCGGGTATACGACCAGGCGTCTGTCGGTACGAATAGCTGAACATTGTCCAGGGTCACTGCGGAGAGGCACGCTCAGGAGTATCAACAGCTCGATCATGGAACATCTGATTCTAAGTGGGCATCAGATTTTGACAAAAAATGCTTTCACAGTCTATTATACCGTAGCAAGGCGATACCCGAAAGGGTTAAGGAAACGCCTCTTGCAGACAACTGAAGCCATCGCGATCCGGCTAACACAACCGGAGCTATGCAAGCATAGGGTGCTTGTGTAACCCTTGACTTTGCCATGACCCTGATGATAAGTTTCCCCGGAGTAACACCCATAACCGGGTGCTATTTATTTATGTAAGTAAGTAATTTTATATGGTTAGTATTTTTGCCTTTTCTGTTTACACAAGTTATTTTGCTGTCGGTTAGCCCTATCACGATGTCACCTGATTAAATCGATTCGAGCATCAAACGAACATGCTAAATCTGTTCAAACCGTCCCATCCGTCCTCATTGTTGCCTTCACCAGTTTACTATTGCATTTATCAGTCCTGTAGTTGTAATTGCCTGATGTGAACTACCGAAAGAGATCTCTTTGCAACACTGTGTTTTACTCTTCCATGAGCATTATTTATAAACTAAAGATTATAAAAGACTATGTTCATGCAAGGCGCATTGTCACCAACCGATTGGCGTACGAAAATTGCCATAATTGAATGATGTGCGTGACGGATCAGGTTGAGGCTTCATCGCCCGTAATCTACGCATAAAAACAACACAAAAGTACACAGCATATGTTGAACAGGTGATGGCTTATTTGCTATTTTGTCGCACTGGCACGTGGCCAGGTAGAGCATGGAAGTGCGAGCGAAACCTCTCGAGGGAATACCCTGCATGGAAGTAGGTCCCCGGAGTCGTTTTCACGCATGGCCGTATTACTTTACATGAACATGTGTTTAAAGCTGTATTTGTGATTTTTTCGGCTGTTTATTTTTTGTAGTGCCTTAAACCTGCCAAGTACTTGAATATACGTTTTGAATCCATTGTAGAAAGCGTGAACAATTACTTATTTTGTGAGATCTTGCCGCACATATTGATCAGACCACATAGTTGGACTGTGTCTCGCACCGCCGAGGAATATACCATTTATTTATTCCATTCATTCATTTAAGGACTGACGTGATATTCTGAACGTCTGCAAATAATTTTCAATATCCAACATGGTTTCAGACGCAGAGGATCTTGCCTCACCAATCTGCTCCTTGCGCGGGATTCATGGACTAGAGCAGCTGATGAAGGAGTACCCCTAGGTGTGGTTTACAGATTTTTCAAAGGCATTTGACAGGGACAATCACTTCGTTCTCCTCCAAAAACTTGCTGCCTATGGTATCAGCCGTTCTCTGCTTACCTGGTTGAAAGATTACCTAAAAGATTGAACTATCAAGGTAAGAATAGCCAACACGCATTCAGAAAGCCTGTGCGTATTCAGTGGTGTACCGCCAAGATCCGTCCTTGACCCGCTTCAGTTTTTAGTTTACGCAAACATCCTTCCAGAAAACATTTTATCCCCGATACAGATATTTGCAGATGCAGCTAAAATAGGGAGAGCAATTCGCTTAGCATCCGACCGTTCCCATCTCCAGAACGATCTGAACCGGATTAACGAATAGACAGAAAGGAACCAGCTCGCACTGAACCCTGCAAAATGCAACTTGCTGGTGGTGCGTAGCAGTTTCGTCAATAAATGTTCTGGGACAGCACCTTTTGCGACTGGTGACTATCGAAGGAGACTTAGGTCTCATCGGACTCTCAGTCCAAAGATCCTACGCGAAAATAGAACGACCGGAATAAAGCGGAAATTTGAATAATGTTTTAGAAGTGCTGAACGATAGTGTACATGTAATCAAGTAATCAAAAAGCCAAAGTAAGTATTAGGAACTGACTGCGCATTTGATAGGTTCCGTAAGATTTTGCATTATCCGCATGCTTAACTCACCCAGGCACCAAGTGCGTCCGACTCCATCGACAGGTCTTTCGTAGGGTTGCGGACCATACAATGTGATCATGGATACGTAATGCAACGGTGTATTCTCCGCAAGCTTTTCTGGTGTAACATTGGACAGCGATTAAAAGTACCACCCCATTAGTCGTACCGTGAGGTTCCAGTTGCCAATGGTTCGATGCCTACTTCTGGGTTCTGTATAACTACCATCGGACACCGGAGGATGATGGACACGGTAGGTTGCTGTGATTTCGTCACACTGAGAAGAATGACCTCTGTTCACCATACCTACGCACGTGTTAACTGAGCATTCGCTTAAATTGTAGCGACATCAGTGCTAGCACATTACCGAGATTAGTTAAGAGTACATATGCAGACTCATCACCAGATACCATAGAGCTCATTTAGAGGCACCAACTCCACGTAGCCGCCTCTACTCGGAGGTTGATGCATCCACTTGATCATCAGAAACAGATCGTGACCACCGTTTGGTTTTTGGAGCCATATCTCGGTAGGAATAATATTGCATGATCAAGCGTCATTGCAGTGTACTTGTGGTCCCAGCACCTTACACGAAATTCCGAAGCCTTGTGGTTGGCTCAGCCGGTGTTTCCCAGTGGTGAAGTGTTTATTAAACTCAGGTCAATTAGCAAATACGATTTCTGCACCAATGATGAAAGCACAGTTAGCTACAACATAGAAGGGCTATTGTAAGTGAATACTGGTTAAGGAGAGCAATCCAATCAATACCAGGCAGAGAAAAATAACGGGTAAACTTGCTTGTTGACCCTCTAATGATAAATCTATGGCTCAGCAGAAAACGCACTAAGTTAGGGTTGACCGATGAATTTTAGGCCCATGTGCTCGTTCGACCACCGGTGCCTTCGTAATTCAGCTCACATCTGGTGGGAACACCACATGAGCAACGAGCGTGTTCGACGCCTTGTTTACGGCATAGCAAAAGGAAATGAACCGCTCAGCACCGTCATTTCACGCACCATACTCCGATGGCTCGGCCACGTGTTACGTATGCCAGCCCACCGACTCTCGCGACGTGCGTTGTTTGCGTGCCGGGGGTGTGGATGGAAGAAGAGGAGGGGTGGCCGAGTGATGACTTGGTGGAGAGGAATGAAGGCCCTCACTTCGGAGCTGGCCTCGGTTGGAGCTTCTCGGCTCCCTGGTTGGAGTCCGAAAGACGATGAACACCTTTGGTTGGACACGCTTGCTGATATGGCTAGGAGCCGACCTCACTGGCGTTCGTGCTGTGAGTTTCTTTGTCCAACCCCATCCCTCTTAGCCTCCCCCTCCAACCACGATCTCATTAGTTAGCCTTATATAATTTTGCATAGTAATTTTTTGATGCACAGTAGCCGGATGGTAGCTTACACGAACGATGCCCATCCGTTACCGGTAGCTCAACCGGCTTGCACCAGTTGCATATTTTTGTTCTTTTTTCTATGTATTGCGGCACAGTAGCTGAGGTGTTTCCCACCTCATGTGCTGGCGTAGATGGATTTGTACTGTTATCTGGTTAAGAAAACGAATACACTTAGCAACAATGCGATATGGAGACAGTGACTTGCGTCGATCAGGGTTTTTAATGCGGGTTGTTTGAAGCAAGTGAGTCAGGTAGGCACTACGGGGATGATGAAATTTGGATGTGGATTGTCGTTACACGGGTATGAACATTTCAGTCACCTGTGTACAAAGATTTGAAGACAACCTACTGAAGTGTTTTCCAGGCATCATTTTGTTTTAATCATGGCTTTGGAAAACGAAAGTCGACTCCTCATTGTCGCCACCAAAAACTTAGCTGCCAATATGCTAGTGCGCCGGGAACCATCTGGGCTATTCCCAACGGGACTGGGCCACTTGCGTCGATATCCTGAAATGTTATTGCAATAATACCAAGGCTCATGTCTATAGTATCGAGACTATCGCTCTTGTTCTCTATACAATTCCGCTTCTGTTGTGTATTGAGTCACGCGGTTTGACAAAATGCGTCAAATAAGAAACCTTGGCAAACAAATGCTTTATGCGATTGTTTTTAAACCTATAAATGTATAATTTCCACATCAGTTTCAAATGCATTCCCTAGTTATAATGACCAGATAATTGCTTTAAAATACTTATTCAGTGAACGTAGCAGAATCTCGGGTTATTTGGTATGTTAGCTTGATGGTTTTCATTAATCCCTATTCCGAACTACAGGCCCGCGTTGTCGAACTGATGATTCCGGAAAGGTTGCAACCCGCTTATGGTGCGTTGCGGGGATGTGATGGCATTCTGAGTGAGTTTAGATGTTATGAATTTCTACTTATAGTATTGTAAATAAATCGGCTCTTAGTGGCCATCATTAATACTGCGGACATGTGCGCATCGAATAGCAGCGTCCTCACTGTAAAATGTATTATAAAGGTACCGTGATTTTAATGTGGGTATACTACAAGCTGCAGCATTACGGGATCGGCGACCCTCTTTTAAGCTGGATCGCCAACTTTTTATTTCAAAGGCAATTAGTGGTCAGAGTTCGGAGCTCTTTATCGGACCCCATACAAGTCGAGTGTGGTGTGCCGCAAGGCTCGGTTCTAGGTCCACGTTTGTTTTTGGTGTTTATTAATGACCTTGCACAGGGAATCGCTTCAAACTTCCTAATGTTTGCCGACGATATCAAGATCTGGCGCAGGATCCAGGTGAACGCCGACCAACATGTGCTCCAAAGTGACTTGGATACAGTGTATCAATGGTCGATCCAAAACTTATTGCATTTCAACGTCAGTAAATGCAAGGTGCTTTCCATCCGACATCAAAGCAGCTACTCATACCGACTCGGAACGGATGTACTGCAACAATCAACTCTCGAACGTGACTTAGGTGTCCTGGTTCAAGATGACTTGGGTTGCTCCAGGCAATTCGAAAAGGCCTCGAAGACCGGGAACCAACACGTCGGGCTGTTGAGGCGGGCTTTTGGACAAATAAACAGCTCCATATTTCGACAAATGCTCAGTGCGTATGTTCGCCCCCATGTCGAATATGCAATTCAAGCCTGGCATCCATGGCTGAAACATGACCTTAATGCACTGGAGCAGCCACAAGGCCGGGCATCTAAGAACGTAATTGGAATGCGCAATCGGTCCTACCAGGAGAGGCTGCGACGACTAGGATTGTTCAGTGGAAGCTATCGCAGGCTACGAGGCGACCTGATTATGACATACTTGATTCTGCGAGACCCACATCATGTCTGCCGCCCTTTACTGCAACTCAGCAGCAATACAAACCTGAGGGGCCACTCATTAAAACTCGCAGAACAATACAGTCGTCTGGAGTGCCGCAGAAATTTATTTTCCATCCGTGTCTGTCACCCGTGGAACGCTGTCCCAGAATCGGTCGTCTCTGCACCGACACTAACAATATTTAAAAGACGGTTGGACGATGCACTCATCCACTTACACTTTGTTACTTAACACTATGTCTCCATCCTACACCTGGAGTTCACCATAGAATTATTTGTTGTTAACTGTGGTGTTGTGAATCTAAGTGGATCGCAGGACTGCAGCGAAGCAAACGATAAGTCCTTATTTTCGTATTTAAAGTGTTAACTATTTTACTATCCTTTTCATCATAATTGTTATGTTGATATCCCCACCAACTATCCAACGGGGCTTGTAAAGCAACGCTTCTTAACCCGTATAAATTCATTGTTCATTGTTCATTGTACAGCGGTATTATTGGTACCCGTTTTGCACATGGCAATAGAGAAAAGACTGTCCGGGTACATAACGACAACTCATCACATCTTCAAGTGTGATTTCAGTTAATTTAATTTGTAAAATCGGAATTAGCTCTACACTTCTCGAAGGTTAAGTGACTGAAAACTTTCTTTTAGCTGTTAGTGCAT